AGATGTGAATGAGCAATTTCTTCTCACCAAAAACTAGGGATTACGTTTTCTTAATTCCTGTCGCCTCTCCTCCTTAGCATCCCTTCGCTGCACTGTGTATTTTTGTTGTATAAATCTATATTTTTACAAAATAACCTGATCTCTGAGCAACTGCATCATGTGCTACAAATTCAGCAACCAAGCTGGGTTCCTACCCTAGCGGGGAGCTCGGATCTGGGGCTTATCGTAGATTAGAGGTGCTTTCCCCTCCCTGCTCCCTTTGCAGCCCAGGCCTAGCTGGAGGTGCAGCTCGCTGGTCTCCCGAGGTGGAGGTGTTCTTCCTCCCTGCTCTCACATGAGGAGGAACCCCAAGCCCATCGCACTGACACGGGCAAGGGTGTCCGCTGTTCTCTAGACCTGCTTCTCCTTTCAGAAGAAAAGACCGGAAAGGCCAGTGGTGTATTGTGGAGGCTGCGTCTCTCTCCTGCAGTGCTCAGAGCAGTGCATTTCTTACTGAAAATCCCAGGCTTGGAGATGCAACTTCTCATTTCCCTTGGGACTGGGTCTCACCTCCTATCTGGGAGAAGAGCTCTTCTTCCCTGAGAATGAAAAAGCCATGCCAAGATCGGAAGCCCGCAGCAGGATGCGAGACAGAGATTTTTGAGGAAGAGGTTGGGTGCCCACACCAGCACCTTGCCGTGTCCCTGGGTGATGGCACTCGGCCCCTCCTGGAAGGCCCCTTGTCTCCTGGCCATTTCTCTTCTCCTGCAGCCAGTTGCTGGTGGGGAGGTCTGTCGGGGGCTCTGGCAGGATGTCAGCAGGTGCGTGGTGTTTCTGTGTATTTTACATATGTGTGTGTGCACATAGACACAAACACCCATAAACACACTTACACACACAGTGGTGCCTCCACTCATGAACTTAATTTGTTCCACAATTCTGGAAAAGATTCATATTGATGAGGGAAAGATAGCTGAGGTAGTGTTCATCACCTGATGTAGAGTTCACAAACAAAAACAAAATTTTGCCAAACGCTTGTTTGTAAACCAAATTATTCACAAAAAACCAAGGTACCACTGTACACAAGTTACATAAACATACGCTTGCCTATACATATACTCATCTGCATAAACATGTCCACACATGCATGTGGCCTTGCATTGCAGGGCAGTGGGGTGTGTTCTGAAAAATGCGAGGCTGGATGGTTTCCTCACTGTACAAACCTCACAGTGTGTACCTATGCAAACGAAAGTGGCTATGTGCGCCCGCCGGGTGATACGACCTTATCTTACAGGGCTGCCATTCTCTGCTGGACACATGGGTTTGCGGGGTATGTCTGCTTGCCGCGCACAAGCGTGGACAGTGTGTTCTCTCTGTCCCCTTCCGCATGGCCAGCAGCCCCTGCTGTGCTTGGGCAGTGCTGTTGAGGGGTCCTGAGTGTGCAGAGCCCCGGGGGCCTTGCTGGCCTGCCTGGTGGGCAGAGGCAGATTTCCCAGTGGGGTCCAGGTGTGGGGCTGTCGTGTGAGTCTGATCTAGGGAGGTCTACTCTGCAGGCAGTGGCGTGACAGCCAGGGCTGGCCCAGGCGTCCCATGCCTGTACCAGGCAGAGGGTGACAGACTGCAGAGTGGGTGGTTCGTGGGCAGGAGGAGTTTGGGAGTAGCTCTGATCCTGCTCCAGAGAATGCAGCTGGAGGACAGCTCTGAGCCCACCTGTCTGCCTGCACCCTGAGGGCAGACTCTGCTACCTTTGCAGTGCTTGGTGGATGACGCAGTTCCACTCTGGACAGCACCAGGATCAGGTGCAGCATGTGGACGCAAACGGACACAGCTGCCCTGGCCCTCTGGGTAGCTGTTGTGGGACATTCATTTTCCTGGCTTTGCTCACAGCTGGCGTGATGAAATAACTGGGGGAGAAACAGTGGAGTCTGCTAAGCACATTCCCTACCTGCAAAACCAAAGCCAGATCCTGCCCGCCACACTTCCTTTTGATTTGAGACCCAGGATATGTGTGGACCTTCTGCAGCCACATTGTCACCATGAGGATGGCACATGCAGTGTGAGCGCAAGGAAAGCAGGAAACACAAAGACAACAGCACAAGGCCACCACAGCTGCAGATTTTCTGTGGTTATCACTGAAACACCCTAAATGCCACCGGTGGGGTTTTCTGTGTGCTTTTCTCTTAACCATAGACGTAAAACATGTTCATCCCAAAAATTTAAGGAAAAGATAAAAGTAGAAAAAAGAACACAATCACAGGTACTCTCTTGATTGTGAGACTTTCTGTGTTTTTAATCCTGTCTTCACATCTCCTAATCCCATTCCTCAAGAACAAATGGGGCACATGCTGGGTGTCTCCCCAGCCTTCCTTCTGATGCCTTGAGTTTCAAATAAGACAGCAGCACTGTACCTGAGTGCAGAGATCTGGGGTTCCAATCTGCGCTTCAGTGAATGCCTTGTGCACAGCCATTCCCAGTTGCTCCCGGCTTGTGAGGGGCCAAGCTCTCTGTGTGGTGGGAAGCAGACCCTGCTCCTTCTTCAGATGCACACCAGCCCTGGTCCGTGTGCCAAGCTTGAGCCGCTTTGCAGGGCCGGCAGGTCAGGAAGACACATTTAACAGTGAGGCAATCTAGTCACCGTGACAGGCACATACTCAGAAAAGAATTGTGTTACAGGAGGGTTTGGTTGTGAATAGCAGTTGATGAAGCGGGGCGGCTCTTTCATGCTGTGCCCAGACACACAAAGGAGGGAGGCTCGGTGCTGCTGAGGCGCCAGCAGGTCCAGCAGGTGTAATGAAGCAGCACCTTAAGAAAGCTTATGTAGTCGCTGCTGCAGTTGGAATATTGGAATTTAAAGGAGGTAAACAATCTCTAATGAAAGACTCCATGCACCGACTTTTGGACTCCTTTTCATGTCAACCACTTGGAAGCTCATGGCTGAAATAATCCGTGCAGCACTTCATTTGCAGAAACTGTTACAGAGGGGGGCTGAGCATGAGCAAAGCTGGGAAAGTGACTTTGTGTGTGTGTTAGCAATGATGTGTGGGTCTTCTCGGATTGTAAGTATGTAAATCTGTTCCCTGTCAGAGTGGAGGATTCTTACTTTATCAAGTGGCCCAGTGAGACATGGGCGCAGTGGGAACAGAGAAGCTCATGGCCAGGGTGCTCCCGGGAGTGGGGACTTCATCATCTCTAGGTTGCCTGGGGCAACAGGAGCCATAGAAACAGGCAGCTCACTGTCTTTAACAATGACCTGCGACCTGTGTGATTAGCTCACTACTGTGTGTGTGCGCGCGTGTGTGTGTGTGTGTGTTTGTGTGTGTGTGTGTGTTGCTCTGGCCCAGATCTATCTTTCTTCAGAGAGGAGGGCTCACCACATTGCCCAGGCTGGTCTCAAACCCTGGGCTCACGCGATCTGCCTGCCTCTGTTTCTCTAGTGGACTTGTGGGGTGAACAACTGTGCCTACATCATTGCATTATTATAAGTAACGCAATCTGTTAATTTTTTTCTCTGTACATTCCATTTACTAAGGAGAAAACTTAGAGCTAAGGAATTGCTTAAATCTATTTAGCTACCATAGTCACTTATTGCTGTCTCAATGTGGGTAAGTGAATCTTGGGGTGTAGCAGGCAGCAGAAAGATTTATGCAGATAATCCTTACATCGTAATGTTCTGGCACACATCAGCAAGGGTCTACTTCAGTGATGGGGATCCTTTAAGAGACTGAGAGCCCCAAACTGCAACTGAAAACCCATTTATTTATCACAAAGTGCCAACACTGCAATTAAACCTGAATGCTCAGGTTTTAGTTTGGAAAAAACATGGCAAGTGGCTCAAGTACCAACCCAGAGGGCTCTGTGTGGCTACAGGCTCGCACCACTGGGCTACTCTGCACATGGCAACCCAACTAGGCCAGTGATACCTGGAAGTGAAAAGCGAACACATCAATGACAACAGCCAGACACTGGACAGGGTGTGGTCTCCAGACTTTTCACATGAACCTGTACCTCTCCTCAGGTTACTGGGAGGGCCTCACTTTGGGGACAAATGTGGATATGCAGATCAAGTTGTATAGGAGCTGGAATCTACTTCACTTTCTATAATTCAGTTGACTTTCTCTATTAAGTCTTCATGACAGGAGGGTGGAGGAAAAGCTCACACAGACGAGGACCATGAAGCTGAAGGGCCCTGGGCCTAGCTCTTTGCAGAGTTGGGGGTTCTTCTCTGATCTCTTCTTTTCCTCCATTTATGAGATCCATCCACTTCCATCTCCTGCCACAGCGGCCAGGAGTTGGAGGAGATCAGCCTTCAGTTTAAATAATTGCTGTCCCTTCATGTTGTGGTCAAAGATCTTAGGCATTCCCAGGTGCAGTATCCTATGGCTTGCAGTCCACCTAAGGTATTGGGAAATGCAGTTTAGTGCAGAGTGGCATTAAAGCTTGGCAAGCCTGACAGTCTGAGACTTAAATGCATGGAATTTGAGTGAAGACTGCTTGTGTTCAAATCC